TCCTCAACGTCGCAGCTGGCTGAAACGGGCTTTTAAAAAACTCAATTGTTACGCGTTGACAATTTGACATTGGTCTCTTCGTTACCATTGGTTTATCATTACTGCAACTTGCTCAAGGGGCTTGTAAACTGGGTGCAACTTCCTGTCACCAATTTTCGAGGGCAGGGAATCAACAAGGGGCAGGGAAAACTCATGGGCAGCAGTTGAGGATCAGGCGTACCTTAACCTCGTGCTGTGGAGCGGTGCATCTGGGCCTTGGGATCAGTGTTGGTCCCTCCACTCGCCTTACCCTTGCTCCCTTACACCTGACCTCCGCCAATTTCATTCCCTCCAATTTCAAGGCCCCTGTCTTCACCTGTGGGTCCTGGTCGAAAGCGGTTCGGTCCATGCAAGAGCCCTCCAATAAGCAAAAACGAAGGGCAACCTCTCGTACATGGTTCAGACCAATTCAAAAACCAATATATTCTGTGCCTGTGTTGAAATTGGAGGTAACTTTTTTGCTCCCCCCAATCTCAACCCAGGGCAAATCGACAAGGGCGCACTTCGGGGTCCATTTTTTGAAATTGGCGAGAGTAAGGTGTATTCAGTTTCGGGATGCGCGATGCCACGACCGTACTTGCTAGCAGCATGCAATAGAAACTGCACAAACTGCAACATGCCACAGATCCGCTTCCAAGCCTACAGCATCTGACGGTTCAGCATCCGAAGCTCACATTTGTGACAAAGCAGCTTCCGATGTTGAAGCGTCAATCAGTTCAGCATCCGAAGGTGAAGGTTCAGACATTTCCGCTTCCAAAGCTGAAGCATTTGTCAGTTCAACATCTGAAGCTAAAGGTTCCGATAGGTACGCTTTTGAACATGCGGCATCGAATAGTTCAGCATCCGAAGCTGCAGCATCTGACGCTTCAGCATGCGATGCATGCAACATTGTCAAAAGAGTAAGCATAAGCAGGAGCCATAGCTAGGAGAACCCTAGCTAGGCAAGAGAAAGTTTAGGCAAAGAGGAGGTTCACTAGCAGCAATGAGGATACATATAGCAAACCCTAGATGGGTTGTACTCGCTATAGAGCACCCCACTACAGGCTAGAGAATAACATAATCTGACACACCCCCATAGCCAAAGTGGGGTGTAATCAGTACAATGAGCAAGCAGGTAGAAAGCAGGTTCACAAGTGCAAGCAAAGCTAGAGGCATTCACAAAGGGCAAGTGAGGAGGAGGAGGAACTGTGGAAGGAGAGAAGATGAGAGGCGACGGCTGAAGCTGCAGACACACGGGCAACAGGAGTCAAACTGGCACAGTGGCTACCGGAACAGCGCCCCGGACTACAGGAGTAACTGGCTCCGCGGCTAAGAAGAGCGGCAGACGAGCAACGGACCCACGGGCGACTGGCGCAGCTGGCTACGACTGGGCTACCGGAACAGCGCCCCGGACTACAGGTGCTGCTGACGACAAGACGGCAGCCTCCGCTCAACCTCCCCCGACCGTCCCACGCCCCTCTCACACACCCCCTGCTGACACCCTAGCTCCACTTCCACGGCACCCCCCTTAAACCCTAAACCTCGGCTCCCACACATCCACCCCCCTCAGCAGCAGCTGCAGCAGTGGGAGACGGAGGAGGAGGAGGAGCAGGGGACGGCGCACACACACGGCACCCCCAGAGCTGCCACCCCCACACTCCGCACCCCAAAACCCTAAAAACGGGCGGAACGGGGGAAGGAGCGCGGGGGACGGCGAGGGGGACGGCGCTCGGCCCCCAGAACGCGACCACGGGGCAGAGAGGGGCCGCGCGCGGCTCCCCAGGGCGGCGCGACGGGAAATCGGGGCCGCGGGGGGGTCGCGCGCGGCTCCCCAGGGCGGCACGACGGGAAATCGGGGCCGCGGGGGGTCGCGCGCGGCTCCCCAGGGCGGCACGACGGGAAATCGGGGCCGCGGGGGGTCGCGCGCGGCTCCCCAGGGCGGCACGACGGGAAATCGGGGCCGCGGGGGGTCGCGCGCGGCTCCCCAGGGCGGCACGACGGGAAAACGGGGCCGCGGGGGGTCGCGTGCGGCTCCCCAGGGCGACGGGATCGCGGGGCCGCGGGCGACGGGACCGGAGGGCCGCGGGCGACGGGATCGGGGGGCCGCGGGCGTCCCCCACGGTAGGAAACCGCCGTGCGCCTCGGTGCGCACGGCGGGGAGAAAACCGCCGCACGCCCCGAGCGCGCGGCGGGATGAAAATGTGAAGGTCGCGCGCCACGGGGCGCGCGACACTGAGTAGGGCAGCGGAAGCAGCAGTGGGGCCCACAGGCCAGGAGCGTGAACGCTCTGTTACCATGTCAAAAGAGTAAGCATAAGCAGGAGCCATAGCTAGGAGAACCCTAGCTAGGCAAGAGAAAGTTTAGGCAAAGAGGAGGTTCACTAGCAGCAATGAGGATACATATAGCAAACCCTAGATGGGTTGTACTCGCTATAGAGCACCCCACTACAGGCTAGAGAATAACAATCTGACAAACATTTCAGTGTGTGACTCTTGAGCAGCGTCCGGAGTCACCAAGGGCAGCTCTAGAAGCACAGGCACTGTAGTGTTGGCTGGGAGAATGTGTTTTGTGTGACTGCGGGTACACTACTGCCTGTGTCTCACTTCTCTTGCAGAAGCTAAGAGCAGAATTGGACATAGGATAGTCAGAGGCCATGTACAAGTGAAGGAATGGCGAAGTCAAACCATCTCCATTTTCCAGCGTCCCAAAGTTGTCCCCAAGAGTCCGAACGGACTCTTTCTGGACGGATTCCGGACGTGCAGAAAAAGAGACTTTTTGGACCAAGGCCTGCTACATTCCGGAGTCTGTTTTAGGTCCGACCAAAGAGTCCGCGAAGAGTCCATTTGGACAATACGAAAAGCGAAGGCAATATGTGTACATCACGTACCCGATATACTAAGATGCGTTTTACCAATAAAATTTATACCCAACCATTGTTTACATGATTTTTAATAAAGAACATGCAAAGGCATTTCTACTTATACAAACTGCTAGAAACTAAATAATGCATTGCCAGATAAATATACGAACCCCCATTAGTTAATGCTTAAAAGAAAAATAACCTGCACGGATTGAAGAACAATATTGAATGAGCCACAAGGTCCATTCCAAAAAATAATAACTACAAAATTGCTTATACTAAAACGTACAAACCGTGGTGACTGATGACACATTGTCCAACAAGGTTGAAAATAGTCACCAGAAACGATTGAAACAAACATCTCCATTTACACGGTGATTAATACATCTCTGAATACAAGAAAAACCAATAAGTACAAGACACACTGGCTATATCAACAAATCATTAAGCAAATTGAGCACCACCTTTGATGGGGCCTCTTACCAGCAACAGGGTAAGCAGCACCCGTCACGACCCTTTGCAGCGTCCTGACAAAGCAGCGCCCGACGCGTACCTTAGTGATAGAGAACTAAATGGCGGCTGTGAAATATTAAACAAAACCTTCAGATTGCGAGCACTTTCAAAGGGGAGGAAACAAACAAAACCGCGAAATCAACGTGAAGCTTGTATGTACGTATAAGTCGGTAACCACAAAAAATGCCAACATTGAATCAAACAAACCGACCTGCGTGATGACACATTCACCCTCTATGAAGGAAATCTTCACCAAATGCAACTGAAACAAACATCAGAAGGTAAGCGATGATTAGCAACCGTTAACACACAGGTTCATATTGAATTAAACAATGTAATTACCGCTCTTCATCGCGCCTCTAAGCAGCAGCCGCATTAGCAGCGCCCGTCGAGCACTTAAGTTGCACCCATCTCGTCTCTTAGCAGCACCCGCCGTAGCAGCGTCAGTCTCGCTCCTTAGCAGCGCCCATCGCGCTCCTTAGCAGTGCCCGTAGCGCTCCTTAGCAGCGCCCGAAGTTGAATAACTTGTTACGTAAAAAGAAGACCGTCAAATGCTGCACTGGGGATAGATAGATATTGGAAATAGGAGCGGTATAAGTAAACGACGTCATGGAATGCGTTATTCTGGTTGTATGAATGAATAAAAAACGTAGGACCGCGCACATCTCAGCAAGCGATGAACACCATGACATTGTTGCATAGAAAAGCAGAAACTGGATTTATAAACCTAAATGTATAACATCCGCAAAGCTAGATTGGTTCTACAAAAGTCGTAGTGCTAGGCTAACCAAAACAGATCGTGCGAACAAATGTTGGGCAAGAAATGCTCGAGTGAAAAGCTCAGTTTAAAAAATGGAGCATCTAGATCTGAAAGGGATGGACAAGTCGAGAGTGGTTGGGGGATGAGTTTGGTAAGGTGTGTAGGTAGCTGTGGCTAATGTTTTCCGAGCCTAACCTGCACAGGAAGGCGTTTGTGTGGCAGGTGGTGTGACAGGTGGCAACCCTGGCAACAGGTGTCAACATGTTGCGAAGGAGTTTTTGATTGGATTTTGAGTTTAATTGAACCAACTTGCTTGGTTTACAACCGAGTTAGCGTAGTGGTTACGAATCGCGCGTGCGATTGGGAGATCGCGAGATCGATTCTAGCTAGTAAAAAGCAACTTATAATTGGGAGTGTTCGTTTTCTTTCCTAATCTAACAATTTTGTGTTCGGTATAGTGCACCAGGCAAGCATCGATCCCCGACCTTCTGCATAGTAACATGAATCGGAGACTTCTTGGACAGATTCCGGATACTTCGCGTTTTGGCTAATTTTCGGACATTTTTAGACCCTTCAATTTTGGGTGAAGACTCTTTTTGGACACTTTTGGGGGGTCAAATGACACAATGTGGACCACCTAGCTGGCCGGCTGCATTTCGGACCGACACTTTTTGGTCTGTGACAGAGCTAGCAGGAAGGTGAGCAAGGTAGTAAATAGCTAGTGAATGGGAGGAATGAGAGCAATGAGGTTAGCGTGGTGGATTTGTAAGCAGCAGTGTTCTTGCACCCTCTGAGGAATGAGAGGAGTAGCTGCTGTTGGCAGCTCTGGGTGATCGCGAGAGCACAGAGATGCAGCGAGCAACACAAACCACTCGAGGGCTGGGCTGCTTGGCTTGGGAGGGAAAGGCGGGACACCACAGCCACGGAAAGGCAGGTATTCCGCTGCGGACAATCGGGGCTTGTATTGATTCGCATGCTTAGCGTTTGTTAATCGAACTAGAGCGGTTGAGTAGGGTTTTAAACACGATCCCTTAGGCATTTTTGTCGGGGGTTCTTTCAGCCCAACTTGCCGCAAATCGGTTCACGGGAAATCAAACACAGCAGCGAGTACAGGCTTGGGTAAAAAAGCTGTACCCCGATAGGCAAAGCTACCTCACGTCACTTCCAATCCGAAAGTTTGTGTACAAATATGTGCCCAACCTCACTACCCCAAAATTCTCTCCAAGGAAGAAACACCTTTATGTATTTCTGTAAACTTAGTAAATATCACTAAATTTCATTGCAAGTTACTACATTACTTGTTTTTATTCCTCGCTACTAAAATCGTAGGAAAGGCAAACACAGCTTGTGACTAAATGAACTGACAATACAATGAAAGGCACATGACTATATAGCAGGTCAACCAGCTAGGCGGGAACATCGGGAACACGAGGTTGACTGCAGGTTGGGAAACAAAAAAAAAAAAAAAAAAAAAAAAACAACAACAAAAACAACAACAACAACAACAACAACAACAACAACAACAACAACAACAACAACAACAACAACAACAACAACAACAACAACAACAACAACAACAACAACAACAACAACAACAACAACAACAACAACAACAACAACAACAACAACAACAACAACAACAACAACAACAACAAAAACCGAAGGCGACGCGAGGTTGCTTCGACAGTGAGCAATCCAGCCGAATGTGCACTTCCGAAAGTTGGGTTTGTACGCGAAAGAGTAAACCCCAGTAAAGAAAACAATTTTTCCTTACATCCAAGGTAGAAACACCTTTATCTATTTCCATAAGCTTTGTCAATAACACTAAATTTCATTGCAAGCAACTACATTACTTCTTTTTATTCCTCGCTAGCAAAAACACACTTTCTGTGTATCATTATCCAAATAATGAAGTTCATTAATAGAAACATAAAAAACATGAATCATATGGCTCGTATGGCATTACAAAAGCATTTCAATTTTAACATCCCGTTGTGTAATTGTGTAGCTGGTCTCATTCACACGATGTGTGCAGTCTAAAAATGTAGGTTCTGAGGTAGTCATAGAATCACTGAATTAAGATGAGTCTCTGTATAAGACAGCATAAGTTGGACTACCGTAGAAGATGTTGGATTGTGGATTACTCTCAGAATTACGACACAGTGGAATGATTGACAAAGCACGACGGGTACAAACCCTAAAATGTGCTGCACCCCATATTTTGTGCCCCACTATAGCCTAGCATGCATATTTGTAATTTGACACCCCCCCATACGCTAACTGAGGGACAACAAACGGTCACAAGACCAGTCAAGAGAAGCAACAAAGCAAAGCTAAGAGTGGATCTCAAGATCACCACACAGTCTGAGCACAAGGCCAGTTCACATGCAGTGTTATAACTTAGCGCACAAGGATGCTGAGAGGGTACGCGAGGTCAGGCTGAGTGCACGTCATCAGGTACATGAGGCAAACCACAATCTATGGATACGGACCACTCGGCTCTACGGACTCGTCCGAAGGTGGAGCTGAGAGCAAGTGGCACATAGGCAGAGGAGTGGGCTGAGGCAGGGAGAACTGAAGGCCGAAGCGCAGAAGAACTTGCTGCACCATGTGTGACTGAGCCAGAGTGATGGTGCGCGCTGCTATGTTTTGGGTGATCTACAGGCCAAGATAGCTCTGCAGCACACCAAGGCCAATGCCTCACTGTCAGCAGTCGCAACGACCAAGACGTCGACGTGGACAAGGATGTAGAACATCGACAAAGTAGATTCGGTGTGCAGAAACAGGGACGGGTCAGCAATTGAAGGAACGAGGCCAAGAGCCGCAAGTGTTGTAGTGTATCGTACCACTCGTGGGGCGCCTGACGGAGATCGTAGACTAGCCGCCGGAGGCTCCACTGGGTACCCTCAGGAAACGACCCAGTAAAGCCAGGTGGGCAGCGCAACAAGATCTCCTTGTGGAGACTGCCCTGCAAGAAGGCATTAGAGAAGTCCAGCAAGTGCAGCTCGTAGTCACGCTGTGCTGCAACGTGCAGTAACACCCGAAGAGTGGTCATCTTCGAGGTGGGGGAGAAGGGTTGGAAGAAGTCGAACCCCTCACGCTGACTGAAACCGTGTGCAACGTAACGCGCCTTGAAGACAGGCGGAGAGCCCGGCGGCCGCTTCACCCTGAAAATCCACATACCATTAATGACGTTCGCAATAGGAGGTAGGACGGTGTCGACTAGGTGTCAGTGGACTTCCAGGAAGCCATCTATGCGTCCAAAGTTGTCTGCCACTAAGGGGAGTAAGGACCCGTGATCGCCTCTGCGTCATAGTGAGGGATCGGGATGACTGGTGCATCCAGGTCTCCCTCTGGGGCATGCCGCGAGGTACTCCAGCTCGAAATGCTTGTCCTCAAGGACGTCACAGCCAAGGGCAAGCTCACCCCTGATGGGCGCAGGACAAGCAGAGTCAAAAACCAGGCTCGAAAGGTAGTCAAGGCGGCACGTAGCAGCAAAGTCAGTGAGCTCAGCGACCAAAGCAGAAGCAGCAGCAGTCGTAAAAATAGGGTCAGACACAAGTGTGGCAAAACAATGAGTGACTGTCAGACTAGCAGCACGAGGAAGGTCAGACACAGGGCCAGGAACGTCAGGAGGAGAAGATGGGGGAGGTAAAGGCAGGACAACAGGTTGTGAAAAAGAGGAAGGACGAAGTGACATAGTGTGCATACGGGGAGCGGGAGGAGGGCGAACACAGCGAGCACGATGAACATGAGCAACAGGTGAGGTAGGACAAGACGCGGGCTCTCTACGCACAGACAGAGAGTCATGCAATGGGGAGTTACGAGAATGAGCAGGTAGAAGGGAATCAGGTGGCAATAGTGTTTGTGACAGGTCAGGCGGCGGAAACAACAGAAGAGAAGTAGTACCACTGGCCGTCGGCTCAACAGAGGAAGGCTTGAGTCTGAGGACATAGCGTAGTGCCGACTCAGGTAGCGAAGACGGCTGCTGCTCCTAGAACAACGGCCGCTGCGGTAGCGACTGTGACGCATGCCCAAACTCAACTCCTCTGGTACGAACACCAGGACCTCCAGTCCCAAGAACACCTTCATGCCAGCACTACCAACACCCTCAGAGTCAGCACCTCCGGCTCCAGCACTAGCTGATAGGATTAAAGAAGGAGTCTAGGGAGATTAAGGTCCATTATATCTCAAAATCGTTGGACTAAAATTCTGGACAGAAATATTGACTTCATAAGAAACGCTGTCGACGAAACTTTCACCGTTAAAACTTCACCTATTTCGGATATGTTTTACCAATAGACGGTGGCTACAATTCCCAATTTTAATCGCACGAAAAAATGAAGTATTTCTTGAGTTATGAAGTCCGGCGCATGTTGGAGCTCAAACTTAAGTCACTTACAGTTATTCAACCAAGAACCACATAAGAGAATTAGAGTGGCTAGAAACTAGGTAGGAGAGGATGAGGAGGACGAGAGGGAGATCCCTAGGTAGTCCCCAACCAAGGAAACCCCATCAGCACACCACATTTCCTCTCCATAAAAAGCCAACTTTCACCCTTGTCATTTTCCCAACCCCTGTCATCCACCTCTAGCAAGTTGGCCACACTCCCCAACCTGGTTTGGTTTTTCCCAACCACTTGGCACCAACTACAGTACAATGACAAATTTCCCCAATCCCAAATTGTCCCAATTGCTTATAGAGTCATCCCCACAACTTTCGGTAGTTGCCGCAACCAAATACCAATATTTCAAAAGCATACGAACTTCAACCGTTCGTAACTTCCTCGTTCGTGCTCCAATTGGAGCGATCCTTGGTTCGTCGGAAAGCTCTTGAGCAGAGAAGTCATTTTAGATATCTACTCAGACAAAATAAAATTCATGTACAACACAATTTTTTGCACACGCACACCACACATGCAACGTATGAACATAAGATGGGAGGCAGACAGACGTGAATGCAAATGATAGCATCACACAACACCAGCACCCCCAGTGCCAGCACCTCCAGCTCCAACACTAGCACTGCCAGCTCCACTACCAGCACCTCCAGCGCCAGCACCTCCAGCTCCAGCACTAGTACCACCAGCACCCTCAGCAGTAGGACCTCCAGAAACAGCACTCCCAGAACCTCCAGAAACAGCACTCCCAGAACCTCCAGTAGCTGCTCCAGGAAGCGGCGGCGACAACGGTTGTTGCTCCAAGAACAACGGCCGGTGCGGCAGTGGTTGCTCCACATGCCCAGAACCTTCGACAGCAATACCCTCGACCCCACCAACAAGAGGACGCTCAGCACCCCCAAAGTCAGCACCCCCTGAACCAGCACCCCCAGAATCTGCACCCTCAGAACCAGCGCCCCTAGCGTCAGCAGCCCCACCAGCACCAAGGCCCCCGGGGTCCACAACGACAGGCTACAAAGGAGGCGAAGATGTCCGAGGTGGAAAGCCCGGAGGTGCCTCCAAGCGCTGCAAGTAACAAGAGGCCGCTGTGTCATCACCCTCCTCAGCCGAGCCAGGGAGTCTGAGGAGAGCTCCAAAGGCACAACTGAGGGGAGTGAGGTGATGAGCGACACACCTGAGGGAGCAGGATGAGGGGGAGGGAGGGGGTCTACTTGGGGGGGACCGGGTTCCAGGTTGAGGAGCGGGGGGGGCACGGGGCAACTGAAGTGGGGGTAGAGACGATAATAACAGACCGACTCGTCAAATGTGACGTCACAAGAGGAAAGGACTCGACGAGTAGCTGGGTGGTAAAAATGCCAGTCAAGGGCGTCGCGGGGAAAGCCAAGGAAGACGCGGTGAATAGTGCGGGGAGATAGCTTGTCTGCTGTGAGATTGCGGACAAGGGCATGCGAGCCCTAGACCCGAAACGGCGACGCATAGCCCACCTCCCAACTCCAAAGGAGGGTATGCGAGACTTCTGGCTATGAGACATGGGGCCAGAGGTTGAGCTGATGCGCGGCATCAAACGACCACAAAAAATGGGGAGCAGCCGCATGGATCATGGAGGTGCGAGCAACCTCCATGATCAAGCCAATGTGGCACTTGGCGATCCCATTATGTTATAAAGAGGCCGGAAGCGTGAACGACCGGGTGATGCTCTTCTCACGACAAAAGTCCTCAAGGAGACTGGAGGAGAACTCACCTCCACGGTGAGGGTGCAGCCAAAGGTCCTAAAGGAAGCGTGCTCTTAGCTAGGGACGAACAATGCCGATTCAAGGGATCAAAAACACTACGAACATCACCCTTGTGCTGCAAGGGAAACACCGTGGTGTAGCGCGTGAAGTCGTCGACGACCAACAGAAATTAAAACTCTCGGCGCGGTCCATGGATGGAGCCTGGGCCCCACACGTCCACGTGCAGTGTTTGCAGAGGAGCAGCAGGGGCAGGGTTTGTGGGAGGCCAGAGACAAGGCAGCACAAGTGCATCCTACTGAGGCGCGGAAGGGAGGGGTGACCAAGAAGGTGGTGCCAAAGGAGAGACTGGTGCGTGAGTAACCGACACGAGCAGGACGCCGCTGCCTGACCTGACGCAGCCACTTGAGCAGACTCAGTCTGCAGTGTGTAGGCACGCTACAACGCCCCTTGAAGCTCTTCATGCCGTAGGCAGAGCCTCCACCTTCACCGGCAGCGGCGGTCAGCTCCTTCCTCAAAAAATCCTCTTGAAGAACTTGTGCGAGGATCCATTCAAGGGACCACGAGTCCTTCATGCCATTGAGGTTGACCACCAAGGGCCCCCACGACTCCGGCAGCAGGGAGA